TTTCTCTATGGATGTGGATTTAAGTATATAATCATTGCTTCCATTTTTTTCACCTGTATAAATAATATTACAGTCTATATTGTTATATACAGTTTTTATTTTATTATGTTCTTATGATACCTTTTTCAGATACAGGATGAATGGGTAAAAGATTATGAAGATTTTAATGACTGTATTGAAACTCTATATTGTAATGATTAACATGTTGGGCTTTGGAGTACGAAATGAGGTGGGTTCAAATTCTGGTTCTGTGTAACCTTGGATAAACTACTTCAAATCTAGTTCAATATCACCCTTAGAATTGTTTTGAGGATTAGATGAGGTAGTGTATATAAAGTGCTTGGTATGGAATCTACCACATAAGTGCTCAATAATCACTGGATAAAATATTGTGAAACTACTTTCCAAAAGGACAGTGCCTGCTTCATTTGCTCCCTGGGGTTATGCAGAACAGCTAGTTTTTCAACAAAGCTCCAGCATTGTGTGTTAAAATCTCATTTATTTGTGGATGAAATGAGATATTCTATGTTCTTTTAATTGTATTAGTTGATTACTAGGAAGTTAGACATGTTTTTAGTGTTCTTGATTTAAAAATCTTTTAAATTCTTCCTAAAAAATTCTTCTTTTTAAAATGCCTTTAATCCATTATTAATTTACGGACCAGACGACAATACTCAAGTCATCGTTATGGGGCAGGTTAAGCATTTCTACAGCATAGGACCCAATACAGGAAGGAAATGTTTTTGTGTTATTTCTGACTTGGCCAATAAGACAGGGTAATGAAATACAGTTTGCCCCATGGAGCAACTTTTTGTACTAGCCCAGAAATGGGTGTCTCTGAGTCTCTGGTCCACAGATGTTTCCTAAGTAGTCAAGTCTGGTCTGGTTGTGGGGGTGGGAGGGTGGTGCAGGCTGGAGGAGGTTCATTTGAGTGCTTGGGTACAATCCTTTTCTGTCATTATCTAATTAATTAAACCAGTTAATCTGTTAAGTTCATGGTTAGTGCCCGGCTGACAGCTGGTGCTCTATTTATGTTATTAGCAGAGAGGCGTGTGGCGCAGTGTCTAAGAGTGGAGACCTTGTCAGTTGTTATTGCAAACTCCGATGTTGAAACCTAGTTTGGCCAATTGGCAGGACTCTTCCATTCTTTCTGTCCACCTGATCCTCTGGGCAAAGTCGTAATGTCACAGGGTCTGCCCAAGTTGGGGCTATGGGTCTTCTCTGGTCCAGGCCATACTTTGTTTTCCTTTAACCTATTTACATATTTCTTTATTCAGTTCTTTTTTTTTTTTTTCTCAATCCATACTTGAGTCTTCTATATCTCAGTGTAATAGAAATTTCTAAATAGCAGGAGTGGGAGGCTAAGGGTTTCACAATCCTTTATCCCTTACCAGTTGCAGCACTCAGATAGCATCTTGCTGTCAGCACTGTTTTCCTGCCCTCTGCTCTAAGGAGGATGGTTTTTAAGCATTAGTAAAGGTTCTGCCCTGGAGCCTATGGTGCTCTCTCAGACTGGGAAGTGGAAAACACAGGGGGGTTGCCTGCTGCCTACAACTCAATTCCCACGACACGGTAGGCTATTATTCTATCACCTATGAGGCTAGAAGTGTGTGTGGTCTTTGATACCTTCTGTGTTTCTGGAATTCTGGGCCCAGGGTAAAATACAGTCATACTTCTTTGTACCTATCAGGAATAGAAAAGAGACGCGTTTTTCCCTGGTGTATTTCTAACTTTGCCTTCAAAGGAATTGTGTTGAACTTCACTTATCTCTTCCCATTGCCTCACGTGGGTGGGTCACAAAGTTTATCCTAAGTTTATCCCTAATGTGTACACACCAAAAATAGCAAGGAGCAAGCCGGGAGCCTCCCCACAGGCCAAGGAGGCCAGGGCAGATGCGCAACAGGCACCGCCTTGGTGGGTCATCGCTGGTTATGCTCAGCTTCACAGGTGAGAACAGAGACTCAGAGTGTACTTGCCCTGGTCGCCCAGTGAGTAGGTGGCAGAAAGGGGCTTTCTATGCAAGGCTGTCTGGATCTGAAGCAGGTCCTTTCCTACTGCAGCTGGAGGTGCAGTTCCTCTAGGACTGAAGACCCCCTGCACTTCCTCCCCTTGCCCATCTCTACGGGAGTGGTCAGCACCTGCCAGCAGCAGGGCTGGCCTTTGTGTCTCTTTTGGTACAGAGCATAAATGTGCCTTTTGGGAGCAGAACGGAGCCTGCTTTCATTCCAACAGGCCCACAAGGCATCACTAGAAGGCATCACTAAAATCTGGGTGTATCTGCAGTCATCTCCATGTCCTGGGTCAGACTCTGAGTCTGAGAATCCTTCCTGATCTGTCACAGCTGGCCAGGTTAGATCATGCGGCTCCCTTGCTAGGAAGACTTCAAGGGTAAACATGTCACTCCCTGGCTGGGGGCCAAGCAACCTCAGCACAACCTGGCTCAAAGGCAAACCAGCTGATTGCTATTCTTAGAAAAACCAGGCATGAATTTTAGTCTTGTTCACTTGGTGACCACACAAAGCTGGTGAGAAGGGTCCTTGTTGGAGGGCTGGGCAAACCTCAGATTCCCATGACATGCATGAGGCACTGGCCAACTTCTCAGGTAGGAGCCTCTGCCCCTGAAGGCCAAGGGTCTAGGAACTCCATCATGTATGGCTGAGGTTTTCCCTCTTGAAGGCAGTTGGCCCATGGCTGACCCAGGCTTGACACTTAATTTATTACATAACCACAGGCAAGTTGAGAATCTCTCTGGATCTCCATTTCATCATTTAAAAAATGAGATGGGTTGGCTTAGCTCATTTCTATTGTCCCTTTCAGCTCTTACGTCTTTAAGATGTTTGATTTAAAGCATATCTCAAATATTGAATTAAAAGAACAATAAATTGTACCCTATAATTTTGTTTTTCTCTGGGTTTATCAGCTCTTAAATATGCTCCCTCAGGTAGGAAAAAGAAATAATGAAACTCTAGCTTTGAGAATGCCACTTTCTTAGATCACTGAGAGGGGAGTGCAGTCCCTTGGTGGAGGGGAGTGCAGTGCCTGAGTATTTTTAAGCAAATCTCAGACTTCATATTTTACTATTAAATCCTTCAATTTGTATTTCAAAAAAAGAAGGCCCTTCTTTTTGTAAAATATAACCTCAATGCCGTTTTATACCCACCTGAATTAACAGTGAAGCAGGAGTTCTTTGGATTTTTAGTAAATTCAGGGTAGGAGGGGTACTGGGAGGCAGGAGCTCTGGTCTGGATTTAACTCTTTTCCTCCAGAAACAATGATAGAATTCCTTGAGCAGGATCTTGGAGCTTGTCCCCCAACCTCTTCTAAGACTTTCAGAAAGCAAATATGGGAAAGGCCTGCCTATCCAGAGCATGTATATAACTAGCATACTGAGCACCTACTGTATACATCTCCATATACATCATCTCCTTTCACTATCACACCAAAGCTGAGACTAGAAACCAAGGCTCTGGAAGGAGCTTCCCCAATGTTACCTTCTGATTGGTCAACAGTAGAATGTCATAGTGTGCCCATGACCTCTTGCTGACTAGGTGCAAGGGTGTGAAGACCCTATGCCGGCTGAGAAAGATTTCTCACACAGGGATAGGATATGCAGAAGTAAAACTTTGTTTCTCCAAGAAAGAAACAAAGAAAGAGAGATAGAGGGAAGAGGGAGGTATTGGCCATGGCATAGAGGAAGGAGTGAAAATGTCAGGCACTAAGGGAAGGTTGTTTGGAGTTTTTAAAGCATAAAAATAGCTTTCTTTTTTTCTGTTTTAGCAGACTGATAACAGAAGCAGCAGTGAAGCTGTTGTAGATGTTCTTTCTGGCTTGTCTGAGTCCTTGGAATCTGGTTTTTGGCAGGAACTGAGGCAGAGAGTTGTAGCGGTAGTTCTCACCTCTACTGTCTGCTTAGGGCTCTTTAAACCTAAAAAAGAATGAAGTCTTGTTAGACCACATGTGTTTTAATTAAACAAAACAAAGGAGGTAGTTATGTTATAAGTTTTTTTCCAAAGGGGCAATTATATGTTGTAAGTTTATTTTTCTTATTTTCTGTTTGATGGTTTATTTTCCTCTTTTAGGTTATTAGTGAGACCCCTTTCAATAGGACATTCCCATTTAGCATCAGCACACAGGCTGTTTGGTTTGTGCCTTAATCTAACCACATGTTTTACTCCCATAGAAATGGTAACCAGTTTATTCTTTAAGATTCTCTGAGAAATGGATAAATTAGGATACTATCTTAAGCAGAGAGATCATAAAAATGTACTCCTCTCCCCAGCCCAGGCTAAGGGATTCTACGCAGTCTTACACCATCTCTCTCTTCCCCTGTCCCCAAATGGATATAAATACAAATCACAGGGCTTATAGTCACTTCTTAGGGTTAGAGAACATTTGTAGGTTTGTGCTTGAAAAGTTTGAATTTTTGACTTGGAAACCTATAACCTTTCACTCAGTAAGGAGAATCTTTAAATAGAAAAATGGAGAATTGCTTTCTTAAATGTGTTTGGCAGTGGGAAGAGGCCCCTTAAAATATTCTGGAAGGGAAAAAAAAAGGCATGGAGACAAGGAAGGAGGCAAAAAGGAAATAAAGGAGGTAGGGAAACAAAAAATCAAAGAACCCTAATAAATCCCAGATTGATATTACTACCCATCGTGAGAGGAGCTCTGGTGACTTAGGCTGTTTGTGTTTAAAATGTCCTTCTGCAGACCCAAAGGAGAAGGCAAATACTTGCCTTGGTAATGAGGCCATCCAGCAGGTTTTCTGTCCCTCCCAAAACCTTGGGAAGGGCTCTAGAAATATGTTTGTTCCCATGTTCCTATGTATAAGCTTCAAACCACACAAACCCAGATACAGCCCGGCATCTCAAAGAGAATAATGTGCCCACAACCATACCTTGATAAGTCCCAGATTCCCCTACTTGTCAAACCTTCCTTTTTTATTTTTAATTTCTTTTTGTAATTTGTAAGTATTTAACCTAATTTGTGTTTCATTTGTACAGATGAAATCATGCAGCAGGAAGTCAGGCCCTTGGTGGCAGTGGATATAATAGAACAACTTCACAGACAATTTGCCATTCTTTCAGGTAAGGGGCAAATTCATTTGCATTTCCGGATTTTTGCGGGAGGGGGTCCTGCTGGGAGGGCCTAGCCTCTTGAACCTTGCGGAATAATTTACTGAAGTCTCACTCATCCCCTAAGCCTCAGCTTCACCCAGGACTAGAATGGACTGAGGACTATCCTGCTGGCGGAGTGGGATCTCATAGATGTTGTTCCTGTTGCAGTTCAGTGCAATCTGATCTTTCCTGAGGAGTGCATTTCTTTGAGGTTGTAGAAAACAGAGCTGAAAAGATTTTGAGAAAGGAAAGGAAATAACTACTGACATCAGCTGCCACTGTGATGTTCTTCCAATGTTCTTGTTGGCTCTAAAAAGATTCAACCTTAAGAAAGTCTTGGTTTTAAGGGTTCATGAGTGTTGCTGAGGTTATTTGTTTTCTGAGAGATTTGTCTTTTATTCTTAGCTCGTTTAAGGAGAATTCCATCGAGCATTTGGTTGGGAATGAAGAGAAGCTGCTATTAATAAAAGGCTAGAAATGGTCTGAGCTAGGCACAACCCTGAAAAGCTGTCATAACTAGAATACCATTCTTTCTTATTCACTTAGCCAAGGGTGAAATGACTTTAATGACTAAAACTGGAGGTACGTGCAAACCCTAAAATGTAGTTAGACCAAACTTGGAAGCATGGAATAGTGACATTAGATGTCCTAGTATATATCACAGACGAATAAAGTGCCAAGTCATTCTCTTCAGCTTTTATATCTGTTCTGAAAAAACTAACAAAGCCATCTTAGTTATTACATCTAGAATATGCAGTTATTATGGATTTTGCTCTATAATGTGGGATATAAAAAGTCACATTTCTTTCCTTTCTTTAAACCATATTTAATTTGCTCCAAACTTCTCATCCCACTGATGTGAGGGAGATGCAAACTCAGTTATTATTGGGGTACCTCTCCCCATGTCAGCATTGCATCCTGGGTGGGCACATCTTACACAGTCCAGAACTTCTGGGGAAATTGTCCGGTCTTTCCTCCATGTTAGTCACGCCTCAGATAGTCACTGTAAGCTATATAAATTCAGGGTCCTCGTTTTTCTTATTTCTATCTGTATTGCCAGTGCTTGGATCAGAAACTGGAGCATAAAAGGTGCTCAGAACAAAATTATCGGAGTCCTCGTGGTCTGTCCTGTGAGGCCCGTGGACTCACTGCCCCGTGCATGCCTAGGTAGGCCTCATGGTCTTGGTCCTGGGGGCACACCTGAAGGTGCTGTCGCATGGCCTCCCACAGTGAGCCTAGGCTTGTCCCAGACAAAAGACGGGGTGGGGTCTGTCCTCTGTGTTCCTGGAAACTGCTGCTATGACCCTACAACACAGAGGGCCCGTCAAGGTCTGGAATGATGGGGTGTGGTGTGGTGGATTCCTATAGCCTTAGACCAAAACCCTAATGCTTCAATATGTGATTCTGGCGTGTATAATTACACAAGGGCGCATCTCAGGAAAAAGTCTAGCAACTGATAAATTCATACTTTTAATGATCTAAATTGATCTCTTTTGAGTACTATTGGGGCATTTCTTTCTAATCTTATGACTTAGAGGCAATATAGGAAAAACATAAAATGGTACCAGACAGCTCTGGATATGGATTTGGATTCTGGAACTGCCAGTAGTATCACCCTGGGCAATTTCTCTAAGTCACAGTTTCCTAATTTGTTCAATAGAATCATCATAACCTTCATGATTAAATGACAGAATGTATAAAAAATGCTTAGTATCACAACTGCTAATTGTCTTTTTTCCTGATATATTTTAAATTCCCATAAAATGTTTATTTTAGGGTTCTATTACAAAAAGTATTTTTCAGTATGTTATAGTTTTTATAAGGAACCCAAGTCATGCTCACAGTGAACGTGGTATACAATGCCACCCTTAAGTCAGGAATAGATATAAGTTGTCACTCCTTAGCATAGAACATAGAACTGTGAAAACTCACACAGGACGAAGTGGACATTTCTGCTTTAGGAAAGCACTTTGACCATGGTAAATATAACCCTTCATTTCTGAGTTTCTTTTGTCATTTAAATTTGCCTTTCTTATGGGAGAGAAGCATGGATTTGCTGAGATGGTGCTTACAACATTGCAAGTCTGCACTAATAGCAGCAGCCAAGTCTGGAAGAATATCAGCAGCCGCGTGTTTCTCTGCGTCAACACTGTCTGGAACCGGCAGGCCTGCTTTTCATCTTTAACCATCCCTTTTCTGGCAGAATCAGCAAATGTCAGCAATGAGGCTGTCGTGGGTGCCTGTATAGTTGTGATCATAAAACAGAAATCACCGTGATTAGGTGTTTCCCCACAGCAGTTTTCTTTTTCCCGATTCAGCCAAGCAAGATGAAGATTTTCCACCTACAGAATTTTCTGCAGATTCCACTAGGCTCTGGAAAGAGCCAGAGGTCCTGTCGACCAGGACAGTTATGAAGGAGAGGATAGAGCCTTTTTCTCAATGAAGCCCTGGTTGCCTGGTCAGCTGAGCTCTGTGCATGTGTTCCCACGGCTGGTAGGAGGGGAGGGGATCATTGCATGTGAAGCCTGACCCAAATCTGTGGTCAGATGGTTAGAAGCCTTAGATAGTAAGCCTGTGAGCAGGGCCACCAGCAGGAATTGGATAGTGATCAGGACTGGGGCTTCTGGTGGCTCTGACCTTGGAAGACACTATACGTGTTCACAGTGAACTTGGGATATTTCTAATTTTAGGGCTTAGCTAGGAAACAAGAGAATATGAGCAGGTTAGTGTGGTGGAAACAAAGGAGCAATGCTGGCTTCTTTCCCAGAAACTCTTGGCTGACTTCTGCTTATGTCTCGTTCCGGAACCGTGCCATACAGCCATTCCTGGCAGGGAGGGAATCTGAGAAGGCAAGTACGTAGCATTCCTACTTCCACAGTGGAAGGCGCTCAGGGAGTCAGAGAAAGGAAGGTTGGCAATGAATTAGCCATTTATCAGTGTTTGCCATAACTCTTTTCCTTTATATTTCTTTTAATGGTCATTTCCCCCTTGGAATCACTGTACCTGAATCTCTCTCTCCCTTTTCCTCCTTCCACCATATCTATCTCTTTCTCTCTCTCCCTCCACCCCCATATTAATTTTAATCTTTTCAAAGCAATTGATAGTGAAGGGATGAAATGCTCGTAGGCTTGTTGAGTCCCCCGTGTTTCCACCCATTCATACACACCTATAGGGTTGGTGGGGGGTGGAGCTCCCAGGGGGCAAGTGGGAAGAGTGGGAGGCTCCCACCCGAAATGATGGAGAATTTCAAACCAAGAAATTCTCCAAACCAAGAAATTATCAGAGCCAAAATTCCTATTTAGCTCAGATTTGGAGCTAGTGACTTGGAACCTGGGAAGTGAGAACCGATGCAAGAGGTCCGGAGCAGGACTGTTTAATAGCCAGTGTGATGCGCATATGTACTTTTAAATTGTGTAGTAACCACATTAAAAAGGTAAAAAGCAGATGAAATTAATAATAGATTTTATTAAACTATTACATCTAAATGAGTATTTCAACATGTAACCAATATTCAAAATTATTAATAAGATTTTACATTCTTTTTTTCATACCAAGTCTTTGAAATCTAGTTTGTATTTTATAAGTACAGCATATTTCAATGTGGACTGGTCACGTTTCAGGTACTCCGTAGCCACGTGTGTCTAGTGACTATTGCATTGAGTAGTGCAGGCAAAAGAAATGGTTCTCAAATATGTTGGATTGAGTATCTCCTTTTTATAACAAATGATTTATATTGCCCTCCACTATCCTGAAATGAAATTTATAGCTACTGTAACCTCTATCAGTTAGGGCAGGCTAAATGGCTATAATAAATAGACTCCAAAGTGTAGAATGGCTCAAACAAACACAACATAAATTCAGTTCCTCCTCTTGTCCTGGTTCAGTGTATGTGTTTCTGGTAAGCAGACAACTTCAAGTAGAGGCCCAGGAATGAAGCCTCCTTCACTTCACTTCAGTGAAGGCTCTTATTACTGTTATCCATTGTGCAGCCTTCTCCTTATCTGCACCCAGACAGCAGACAGGCTAAGAGAACATGGAAGGAGCATAGTGCTTCTCAAAACTCTCAGCCCAGAGGCAGCACACACCTCATTCCTTTGACTTCATGCCAGCCAACACCCACGGCCCTGGCAGGAATCTTTTGTACCCCAAGTACTTAAGTGTTTTCTGCAGTAAAGCTAGTTATCTCTCATTTAATGGAATGATAAAAAATCATACTAGGAGAAGTAAGGTTTATTTTATTTAAGTTACCATTTTACTTAGTGCCAAATAGTTTGGTTTTTTTTTTTTTGGTCTTCGTTGAATGGGACTTTGGAAAAATCATGCCTTCTTCCTCTTGCATTACCACATTTCGTCACCAGGTGGCACTAGACGCCTTGTTGTGGGTTGTCAATAGTTTTCTATAAGCCCCACTTGGTTTCCTTGATGCTTCTGCCTCTTAAAAGTAATATTCAACAGCAGGTGGTGCCCAGAGTTAGCCTTGGGTCTCCTCTGGTGTGCAGTATTGGCAGTAACAGAGACAGAAGAAAACTTCACTTACCTTTCTCCATTTAGGTGAGAATAACTTTAATTTAGTAAACTATAAAAGGTAGTTTAAAAATTTAAATGGTAATTAAATGGGATAATAACATCCTAATGAATATTTTAGGGTGTTTTGATTCCTTGAAATGTTTTAGCAATTTCTTCAGCAAATGTTGGTTATACAATTAGTACAGTGCTATACAGTATCTAAATTTAGCCTTACTAGAGATACAAATTCTCTTAATTCATATTTCTCTGAAACTTCCTGTAGTTGTGAAACTGCAAAGGGGAAGAATATTAAGGGAAAGCTGATAATATCCTCATCAGTCACCATAATGAGGTAGCTCAATATCCTTGTAAAAGCTTGACAAACATCTAATCCCGTGGGCATCTTTTTGGAAATTTAAAATAAACATACGGGATTAATAAAGAGGCACTTCTTGGAGAAGGATGTCTGACCATCCAAATTTCACATGGTTTCATTACATAGCAGTTGGTCTCTGACAGCTTAAAACCCACATTAACAATGTTTGCAAGAGATGCAATGCTAACTTATTCTTGACATATAAAAATACTTGTGTTTTCTTGATAGCACATTCTTTCTCTTGAAACAAATTGACATGGAAAGACAGATTGTAAGCAGAAGGTATTTATCAGGCATGGAGTCAGCCCAGGGGGGCTGACTGGCTGATTTTAATGGTGGTGGTATTAGATAGACTGGCCACACATTGAATTCTGGTGGGCCAGGATGCTCTCCTTAGGCTAGCACTGGTGGCACACTGCCCATTTCTGCTTCTCTGGGTTTCTGTTTTCTATAGTTTCTTCACTGAGCATACATCCTCACCAGTCATACAATCCTCATTAACCCTTACCCCACATTGATATGTCTTTCTTAGACCTGCAATCATTTGTAGTTGGCTTTGACTTGGGAGCCATTAAAGACTCCTCTTAAAGTGGTTTCCCTCCAAGGGCATACCCTGGCAGGTACATGCAGCTTCAGCGTACATCCCATTGGCTCAGGCAGAGGTTCCCACACCTTGCCAGTTCTCAGTTCCTTGCTATCTCAGTCAGTTTTCATGGCGTCCCTAGGCCAAAAGCAATAACTAATGGTTAAAATAACTTACTAACAACAACTGCTAATAACTTAGTAACTGTTTGAAAAAAATAACACATTTAAACTAAAATAATTTTTTTCTTTCAATTTTATTCTTAAATAACAACAATTATCACAAACCTTGGAATCAGACTAGATATATCATCACTCTCATTTCTTGTTCCACACTGATTTTCAAACTGTATTTGCTTTTTATCCCAGTAACCACCAAAACCCCAGTTTTATAAGATGCAGTGTCATCAAAAAGAATATAGTGCGATTTAGTATTGAAAGTAGGAACTACCTCAAGCCAGTAGTATACCTGGTATCTGTCAGATGTCAACTATTATGGTGTGTCCCCCCAAAATTTAAAATATTAATAGTGTTCCTGTGAGTTCACTGTGGTGCCCTGGGTACCTGCCACACCATTTAGGAACTTAGTCATATGGCTACATGTAACTGTAAGGAGACTGGGAAATATCTATTTAATTTAATCTGCTGGCCTCTGCCTTAATGAATTAAGTATTTTTATATGTTTATTCCCACGGTGATATCTTGTATTCCTGTTTATAAGTTCTTGAAGGGAAGCTGATTATTGCCTCCTTATAATAATAATTATTGTTATAATAATGAACACCATTTATTCAGCAGTTATATATAATAAGTACCCGCTAACATGCTTTTCATTTGTGTTCTCACTTAATCTTCATAATTTCTTTTGAGGTAGGGACAAGTATTATTTTTATTATATATATATAAAATGGGAGGAAGTACATGGTGTCCCAAAATTTGCCATACATAGGGAAGATGGAAAATTGTAGCTAAATGTACCTTTATTTACAAAATATTCATTACAAAATTTTTCCTTTGTATGGAGACTTTTGGGACACCGTGTGTGTATGTGTATATGAGGAAAATCCTACTTAAGTATCTTGGCCAAAATCATATAGCAATTAAGTGGCAAAGCAGAATTTGAACCAGTCTGTCTGATTTTAGAGTTAACTCTCTTAACCACCCTGTGCTATTACCTTTGATATTTACTAACTACAAAAATGAAGAGCAACATTATATATTTGTGTTGGCATTGCTTGCTATTCTACTTATGCTAAATAATTAAATCAATGTTACCTTTTATACAGTGACCATCTTCAGAGGATTCAAAAATTGAATTCTTACAATGCTATTGGGCAAGCATGAAGAAGAGAGACTTGTCCAAAATAGTTTAGTGTTAACTCCTCCCAAATTCTGGTCTGAGATAATAGTCTGAGATAGAAAAAGAGGAGGCCCATATATTCCGTCTCCCAACTTCATCTTGTCAGAGCCCCTTCCCTGCAGAGTCGTGGCATTTTGTAAATGTTGTGACCGCTCATTTTTGTTGCAGGAGGCCGAAGGGAGGATGGTGCTCCCATCATCACTTTTCCGGAGTTTGCGGGGTTCAAACACATCCCAGAAGAAGACTTCCTGAATGTCATGACCTACCTGACTAGCATCCCCAGGTGAGCTGAGCACAGTGTTCTGCTGCCTTCTTAGTTACCGGCTTTATTCCACATTTCTCCTGTAGCAGGGCTGGGTTGAGATGGAATCTTCCAGGAGCACAGTTTACCCTGGTATGCAACTCAGCCAGTTTCCCTCATTCATCAGTCACCATCTAGGGATGTAGAAGGAGACTAGGAAACAATGATAAACAAAGTATCAGTTTGACTATGTTGACATAGCAAGTACTTAATAAGCATTGCTGAGTGAATGGAAAAGTTATTGAACAGCTGGTGTTGCCTTTGTTCCTTCAGGTTCATTGCTGTAGCTTAAGGTTATTCCTGCTTCCTGGTCATGTTATCTGGGGCATACATGAATGTTCCTCAAGGAGTTCAAACCGTGTCAGGAGTTATTTAGTTTATCTTTCCTAAATATGGAAATTAGGGGCAGATTTTATAATTGCCATGGTCAAATGGAGAAACTAAGGCATACAGCAAGGAAACTGCAAGGCCAGGGGTAAAAACTGTGCTTGTAGCCATGCCCATGACAGACATGCTTTCTGACATCTGCTAATTCCACCCTCTTTAGCCCAGGTCTCATATCTTTATGCCACTTAATACTCAGGTCTCCAAGGGGTGGAGTGTGGGACAGAGTTCACGACAGAGTTCACATTGATCACTACCATTGCGCAGAGACAGAGCTGGGAATGGGGTCCAAGCCCTGATTCTTAGACATGTTGTATCCACTCTCCAGCACAGCAGAGCTAGCCAGGAAAGGCCTCCCTTCCCCTCCAAGGTTTATATAGTTTATGACATTCCTTCCTTAACTTCGGTGTGTTTAAGAATTTACACAACAGCCAGGTATGTGTTCTTTTGCTGCTTTCCATCTGCTGCATATGATTTAGAGATAAACACCAGCTTTGTAATTGAAACGCCACCTGGAATCTGAGCCCATCTGTCCACCTGTGGAGATTAGCAAATTGATTGCTTCAACCAAACCTACTTGAAAAGTGCTTTATTTTGTTTTGTTTCTTCTTTTACCTGTCATCTTCAGAGAAAGCCATGGATTTATTTTTAATGCATTTCTTCAAAGTTCAGTCCTTAAATTATATTTCATTAATTTCCCCCTATCTTCTTTCCCCTCCACCCCCATCTGATATGTGCTATTGAATTTGGGGGGATCTTTTGTTGCTTTGAGGGAAAGATGCTGCACACATCCCTGGGCTTTGCTCATATGGTTCTCTGCAGAAATGCCCCTCTCACCCTGCTAGGCCAAATGCCTACACATTCCTCAGCCCTCATCTCTGACCTCATCTCTTCAAGGAAACTGTCCCTGACCCCAGTTCTGCTTTCACAGACTCTTTTCTTTATGTTCACAGAGTCCTAAATGTCCCTCTTGTACAACACCATAATATATGGAAATGATTCTGCCTCTCCCATTAGACTGACCTTTTCAAGAGTAGGGGTCAGCGGTTTTTTTCCTCTTCTTTTTCTTTTTTTAAAATATGTATCTCCAGTCCTAGCACAGTGCCCAACATGTGGTCAATTCCCAAAAATAATGTTGGTAGAATTTCCAGTTTTGATAATGATTCATTCTAAACAAATGGTGTTTTCAGTCAGGTGATGAAGGGGTTAAAATATGCTATTCTGGCATATTGATTATTTAAATTAAAGGCACTTGAAAAACAGCTGGTGCAAGAAGATCTCTTTGACTTTTGTGCTGTTTCTTAAGAGCAGAAGATGAAATTCCCATGTGAAAGACACCCTCTCTGTCCTAGAAGGAAGGGTCACATCCTTATCTTCAATGAAAAGTTGAAGCTGAGAGGATACTGTATACACCTTGTTAGAATAACTCTTATGTTTTAAGCCTCGCTCATAATTTAGTCACATTTTCAGAGTTTATCATTCTTTGTTCAATCCAATGTATAAGTAACTGACTCAAACTTCTTCTTTAGGTCTTCATTTTTTTATGAGGGCTCTTGCGTCATGGGGAACATTGGTAAATGTGTGTGCTTTTCTCCTGTTAATCTATGTTAACTCAAACTTCTTCTTTAGGTCTTCATTTTTTTATGAGGGCTCTTGTGTCATGGGGAACATTGGTAAATGTGTGTGCTTTTCTCCTGTTAATCTATGTTATGTCAATTTAATTTTTGGACCCAGAGGGACTCTAAGATGATTAGGGTGGAGTTCTTCCACCTCTACAGTGAGAACGGGGAGACTGACAGAGGGGACCCCCCCCTACTCCTCACTTCTGCCTTTACCTCCCTGAGTTTTAGGAAGTTGAACTTAACCTCTCTCTTTGGCCCAATCCATTTCAGGACAATGACCGCACTAGTTCAGCAACTTCTTCCATGCGAGCGGCAAGGAAGAAGTTGAATAGGGAGGTAGACAGTGTGGGAAACGGTCTCTTCCATTCTCTTTATATTTGTTTTAAGCTCGCTATCTAATTTTACTTAATCCACAGGGATGCAGTCAAATGCTAAATTAAATGGGTGATTTCCTCTCATATTTGCAAGCTTTTCTGAATCCCACTGACGATAGCACATTGAACACCATCTGAACCAGTGTAGAGAGAAGCAGGGAGCATTATAACCCCCATGTCACAGATGTAGAAGATAAGAGAGAACAGGGAACCGCTATTTTGGCCTGTTTCTTTTCTACTTTTTGTTCCTTCCACATTTTCTTGTAAATTGCGAATATTTTCCTTTCCTAGAATGCTGTTTGTCTCTTGAGAAAGAGTAGCTGCCCAGACAGTTATTTGCCTTTCTTCTTCCTGGGTTTTGCTCATACTTAATTGCCGCTCTGCCCTTTGTTCCTTTCAACATACAGCAGAGACAAAGGGGAAGGCCTGAAAGGGGAATTTGACCTGAACCTTGACTTCTAGTTTCCATCTGGTTACAAAGAATGGAGCCATCCTTGTTTGTTTTATGACTTCCATTTATCACGCTTTGCATCTTCCTAGATGCTACTGGTCATCAGGCACTAGAGCCCTTCCCAGGTTGTAGAATGTTTTATAGGCATTTGGGTGAGGGCTCATGGAATAGAAGAAGACAGATTGATACAATAGAATAGATAAAAATGGCAAGGTACTCAGGGTAGGGAAAGAATGCTGCACCTGAAATTAATAAGCATCTCCCATTGTGGCTGGGTTGGGCGAGTACAGAAAGGCTTCCTACAGCAACTCATTCTTCACCAGACCTGGGCTGAGAGCCAGCAGTGTGTAGGGGCTGTGTGAGCTGCCGTGAAGGACTGGAAAGGCTACAAAACCATGCCTCAACCTGAGGACACTCATCACTTAACTCTTGTCATGATGTTCTGTGAAATGTGTAAATAAAGGGCTATATGAGCTCAAAAGACAGAAAAGCCACTTCAGACAAAACAAACAAACAAACAAAAAAAAAACAGGGAAAGGGTCAGGAATGAAATGGTCTTGAAGGATGGTACAGTTTCTACAGTAGATATGGAGTGGGCATGCCAGAGAGAGAACAGGATGGAGTTTAAGAGCTTTGGACACAGCCTGAACCTGGATTGAAATCCAGATCCTATTGCTTACTAGGTATGTGCTTACTTGGTATATACTTATTAGGTATTGGCTTCTATTTCTATTTGACACGGGGTTTGAAGTTTTAAACAGAGCATGTTTGGGGAATTACAGGCCCTTCAGGTTGACCAGAACAGAGTGATTTTCAGACAGTAGGGAGCAAAGGCTTAGAGTCCTCAGGGAAAGACAGATGGAGAGAGACTGGGCAAGGCCTGTACCACCAAGTTATGGAGTGTAGGCAGAGTGAGCAGGAAGAGGCCGTGGGAGGCTGTGAGGAGGAGAGTGAGGGGCAGGTGAATCGGGAGTGGTGTGCAGGATGTGTCAGAGGGAGCAGGAAGAGGAGGCAGGAAGAACAATTAGGGGCTTCTACATAGGGATAGGAGCAGAGTGAACAGGGATGAGGGCAGGAGGGCTGGCTAGCAAGGGGTAGACAGGAGGACAGGTACTAGGAGAGGGTACCTAATGAAAATATTTGGCTTTAGGAATATTACAATTGCATTGGGATTCAGGACTCAATTTTGGTTTTGATGGTCTCACCTTGTTTTATTTTATTCCTTTTTTCTGGCTCTTCTTTATCAAATCATGCCAGCACAGTGGTCCTCAACCTTGGCTGCATATTAGATTGCCTGAGGAATTTGTAAAACTCCTAATGGCTAGACCATGATTCAGACCAAATTAAACGAGGATTTCTAGGGCTGGGACCTGGGCTTCAGTGGTGTGTGAAGCCCATGTGCAGCCAAGGGTGAGAATCACTGCATAAGGAGCAGGTAGGAAGAGCTATGGTGACACCAAATGGAACAGGCGTTTGAGAGGGATGAGGAAGAAAACCTAGAATCAGTCCTAGCTTTTGGGTAAAGTGAGGTGGTAGAGAATGTGCGGAAGTTGAGAGACTGAGGGAGGGCTGTTCCCGTATCTTTTACTTTGGGCTTGACTTTTCATTAGTTTTTTTACTATTTATTAAATGACTTTTTACTATTTGTTATTTACTATTGTATGAGTTCCTGATAATGATGGGGAAGGAGGATTCTATTATCATTGCCAGAGTTAGTTCATATACTTATTACAGGCTCTCTAGGTACTAGCATAAATTCCTTTCTGTTTGAGTCATCTTTACAAACTTCACTGGGATGATAAACATTGCATACAATCTAGTAATGATGTACATTGAGTATTATCATTCAGAATAGTCTAGGTCAGAGGTTAGCAAACTTTTTCTGTAAAGAACCAGAAAGGAACTCTTTTGGGCTTTTCTGGCCATAGAGTTTCTGCCTCAACTACTGACTTCTTTAATGCTGTAACTCAAAAGCAACAATAGACAATATGTAAGCAAATGGCTGTGGCTGTGTTCCAATAAAACTTTATTTACAAAGATGAGAGAGGGGTGGATTTGGCAGATGGACAGTAGTTTCTTGGCCCCTGGTCTAGAATAGTGGTTCTCAGACATTAGCACACATCAGAATCCCCCGGAGGACTTGTTAATAAC